GGTTTTGTTTTTGTCGTGTGGTCGTTTTTTTTTTTTTTTTTTTCTTTCTCTCTATTTTTCCTTTCCGTTTGGGTTTTGTTTTTGTCGTGTGGTCGTTTTTTTTTTTTTTTTTTTCTTTCTCTCTATTTTTCCTTTCCGTTTGGGTTTTGTTTTTGTCGTGTGGTCGTTTTTTTTTTTTTTTTCGCCTTTTTTTTTTTTTTTTCCCCTCCTTCGTCCAAGCGGAGCCCGAAAAACAAACCTTGTCTGCGAGTAAACACCGTGTGTGAAGGTCGGAGAGAGGAATAAAAATATTGCCGAGGCGGCGGCGGGCGGGGACCCCGCGCCGCGACTCCCGAAAGCATAAGTTAAAGCCCCGAGGGCAGTCCCGCGGCCGGACCGCGGTCAGAGGTCGTGGCAGCCCGTGTCCGTTTTCACGCCGTGGGCATACACGTCGTGCTGCGGCTGCTCCCCCGGAGGGGTCATGCGCTTCTCCTTCTGCCGCCGGTTGCAGAACCAGACCCGCACCACCTCCTTCTCCAGCTGCAGGCTGTCCGCCAGCGACGAGATCTCCTGGGCGGCCGGCTTGGGGCACTTGAGGAAGTGCGTCTCCAGCACGCCCTTGACACTCACCTCGATGGAGGTCCGCTTCTTCCTCTTCCTCCCCTGCGCCGCGATCTTGTCGATGCTCGTGGGGCTGCCCGTGGAGGAGTCGGCCTCCTCCAGCCACTTGTTCAGCAGCGGCTTCAGCTTGCACATGTTCTTGAAGCTGAGCTGCAGGGCCTCGAAGCGGCAGATGGTGGTCTGCGAGAAGACGTTGCCGTAGAGGGTCCCCAGCGCCAGCCCCACGTCGGCCTGGGTGAAGCCCAGCTTGATGCGGCGCTGCTTGAACTGCTTGGCGAACTGCTCCAGCTCGTCCGAGGTCGGCGTCTCCTCGTCCGAGTGGTCCTGGCAGTGGTGGCCGCCCAGCTCGCCGTGCTCGCCGCCGCCCTCGCCGCGCAGCCCCGGGTGCAAGCCCTGCCCGGCGGCGGCGGCGGGCGGCGGGGTGAGCCCGCCGTGCTCCAGCATCCCGCCCACCGCGAACCCGCCCTGCGAGTACACGCCGAGGGGCTGCCCGGCGGCGGCGGCGGCGGCGGCGGCGGGGGGGGCGGCGAGCGAGGCGCTGTGCGCCGGGCTGGCCCCCCAGGCGCTGGGGTGGTTGGCGTGGGGCGAGTGGTGGGAGACGTGGGGCGAGCGGTGGTGGATGATGGCGCCCAGCTGCAGGTCCTCGCGGCCCGGCTTCACGTCGGGCTGCTCCAGCGGGCCGCCCGCCAGCGCCGCGGGCCAGGGCGCGCCGTCGCTCAGGCTGGTCACCCAGTGGTGCCCCAGCGGGTGCCCATTGCCCGGGACGCCCTGCAGGTACTCGCTCTGCAGCAGCTTCTGCGGGCTGCGGAACGGGCTGCCCTGCTGCATGCCCGCGCCCTCGGCGTGGGCGAGCGCGCCGGCGCCCAGCAGGCCGTAGGGGTTGGAGGCGGCTGTGGCCATGGCCGCCGCAGCCCCACGAGTTATACTGAGCGGCCGCCGCCGCGCCGGGCTTTGACATCCAGCGGCACGGCGGGCCGGCGGCGGCCGCGCGCTGACTGACACCCGCCGCGCCCAATGGCGCCGCGCCGCCGCCCGCGCCGCCCAATGGGAGCGGCGCGGGGGCGGGGCGAGGCGGAGGGGGGCGGGGCCGGGGCGCCGCGCGGGCGCGAGGCAGGAAGTGAATCACTCCGCCGGCACCGGGGGCCGGGCGCGAGGCGGCCCCGCCGCGTTAACTCCTTCCGCGCCGCGCGGGCACCGGGGGGGCTTCGGGGGGCACGGCTTGAACGGGGGAGCGATGGGAACGGGGAGGGGAGGGGAGGCGTGGGGGGCACGGCTTAAATGGGGAGCGATTAGCGCCGGGGGAGAGCGCGGCAGAGGTTAAACGGCGGCGCCCGGGCGGCCGCGCTGCGGGACCACCCCGGGGCTGCCCCCGCCGCTGCCCCCGCACGCCGGGCCGGGCTCCGGGGGTTCAGCGGCCGCTCCGCTCCTCCCGCGGTGCTGCCGCCCCGGGCTGCCCGTGCCCGCCTGCCCCCTCCTTCTCCCCCCCGCCCCGCGGGCCGCCGCGCTCCGTCGGGAAAGAAAACTCCGAACCCCCCAAAATAATAAAAAGCAGCCCCAAAAGGAGCTTCCCCGGCCCCGCCGCCGGTGCATCCCGCCGGTGTCTCTCAAAGTTGGCGGCGCGGAGTGCACGGGAGCGGTGCGCGCCCGGCGGGCGGACTGCGGGGCGACACGGGGAAAAGGGGCAAAAAACGCCAGAAAAGGGAAAATAACGGGGGGAAAGGCGCGTGCGGTGCCCGGACACCCCCCGGGGGGGCGGCTCCGGGCCCCCCGGCTCGGCAGGGCCCGCCGGGCACAGCCCCGCACCCCCCGAGCCCCGGCGGGGCGGGCGGAGGAGAAGTCCCGGGACCCCCCGACCCGCTCCCGAGTTCCAAAATGACCTTTCCCCGCATCGTTTCGGAGGTAACCGAGCTGCGTAATTATATTTGCACTTCCAGAAGACTGCATCAGAGTCCCCTTATTGGTTTGAAATTCCATTAAATATATTGCAAGAGCTCCTAGGTTAAGCTTGATTTAAATTTGCATACATTTTCATATATTTAGCAGAAATAAAAGAAGGCTTGCAGCTACCAGAAAGTCATTAAGGCATTAGTTTCTCTGAGAAGACAGATCTGAAGAAAATTCAAGAAAATGAGAAAATAGATCTAAATAAGGTGAGCTCTCCTCTGGTTCCTTCCGAGCCGGGTCCCATCGCTTTGCTCATTATAATAATAATAATCACAATAATTTCTCGCCGGGGCAGCGTGCGAGAGGGGTAAAGGCAGGGCTGGGTGGCGAAGGAGCAGAGCGGGCTGCGTGGCTGGAGGCAGATCGCGATATATCGGGGAGGCTGCGGGTCCCCGGCGGGCTCCGCCGCGCTGCGCACCCGCGGGGGTGCGGGGAGGGGGGAGCGGCTGGGGAAACACATAAAAAATAAGGCAAAGTAAATAAAAAATGAAGTTTGCGGGTAGAGCGGCGGCGGTGTGTGTGGGGGGTGTGTGCGACCGGGGGGGGGGTCGGCGGGGGGGTCGGGAATGGGAATGTCCCTGTCGGAGCCCCGCTCCCCGCGCGGGGTGTGCGGGCGGTGCGGGGCGCGCAGCACCGCGGCCGAGCCCGGCGGAGCGCGGGGAGGGCAGGGAAGGAGTTATACCAGCAGCCTTTTCCTTGTTGGTTGGTTGGGTCTTTTTTTTCTTTTTTTTTCCCGCGGGCTCCTGTGATGTTTATTTCGAGGAGCTTGTGAAGGCGGAGAG